ATAGAGAGATAGTGAGTGAAGAGTAACTATAGTTGTATTTGAGATAAGCCCCAGGATACCTGCCCAAGAGCAAGTTGGAATGCCAACCCCCTCCCTATTAGCTAATCATGTACCCCTTGGTGTGATACCATAACTCTGTCCCCTTCCATATCATGTCACAACCACCTAGAGGACCAGGAACTTTGAAGATTACTGCTCTAGATAGCAAAAATAAGATCAATAAGTAGAAGTTAGTGGCAGTTATATTTTGATTTAATGTAAGGAAGAACTCCCTAACCATCTAAGTTGTTAAAAATGAAATAGGCTACTTTGTGAAATATTAAACTCTTCATCACCAAAATTTTCAATCAAAAACTGCATGAACAGTTTTCAGGGGTGTTGTTGAAGTTATTCATATATTATGTGAATTAGAATTTGTACAAATTACCTCTGAAGGCACTTTGAACATTAAGATACTTTTAAATTAAGATAGGAGATTCTTAGCATTAAATGTTAAATGCAAACAAGCTTTTCTTCCAGGCTTCCTATTTTTAAGTCCAAGCCTTAATGGACACTCTGAGATTTATTGATTTCTAAATACTTGTTTACTGCATGTTACATTCTTTTAAAAGGAACAGAATGAGCAGAGACTGACCGTCGGTATGTAACATAGGCATCCGTCCACATAAGAGTAATGCACTGGGTGGCGGTAGCATATAAAAAGGGTTACTTTGTAATATTAACTTTTTAACAATCATTTTTATTTTTTATACATATTTCCTTTATTTATTTATTTATTTTTGGCTAGGCAATGGGATTAAGTGACTTGCCCAGAGTCACACAACTAGTAAGTGTTATGTGTCTGAGGGCGGATTTGAACTCAGGTCCACCTGAATCCGGGGCCGGTACTCTATTCACTGCGCCACCTAGCTGCCCTAATAATCATTTTTAATAGAAACACTAGGCAATTCCACTCTGATTGGCACATACATATTTATTTGTGATAAGTTAAAGTGTACATATTAACTCCAATGTATAGTAATCCATAAGAGAAGTAACTCTCCAGTCTTACTTAGGGCAGACAAGTTCCTTGCCCTGGTCCTGGGAAGGACTCACCCTTCTGAACAAAGTATAGGAAGTTAGAAAGTTTAATTTTTGGTAAGCTATGCTGTAAGTGTGTCCACTTATTTTTTTCTATCTCAGTATCCATAACGGCAAAATTGGAATAAAAGATTATTTCACAAATTAATGTTTTATTATTTAGCAGCCATTAGTGTCCCAATTAAAATGTGCTTTCTAGTGATATAATAATTATAATTCATTTCTGTCTTAACACCGCAAATTTCTTGTGTCAAAAGAAACATGTAGTGTAAATTTTAGTGCATTACCTTGTGATGTTAAATGACAAATCTATTTTTGATGCTTATGAAGGGAAAGATATCACCTGATGTTTAAGATGTAAGGAGTCAAAAATAAATTCTATCAACCTTTAAATAGACATAATTTTTCTTTAGCACCTTTTCCATGTGATTCATGAGTTGAGAGGCCTGTTCACAATCAACTGTGATCTCACTTAAATTCCTTCCACCATAGATGTGAATCTCATTTTTACACCCTGAAAACAGAACTAAGAGAAATGGTTGAAAGGAGCAATTAAAAAGCAGTGCAATCATTTAAGAAGCTAATAAAAATACATCTTGATCCTTGTTATAGCAGGATCCTTATCAAATAGGTAAGTTCTAAACTGTTTCAACTTAGACTGAATAGAAGAACTGGAACTCAGTCTGAATACAGATGTGAATGCCTTTCATATATATGCAAATAGAATAAAATTAGTACAATCCGTGTTCTGAAAAATCAGTGTGATATATGAGATTGGGATCTGGTCCCCCTTTAAGACTATAAGCTTTAAATGAGTTGCCAATCTGCATCAGTGGAGGGACTGTACACACATAGAGTTTCTTCCTCTGATGTAATTATAGACCCAGATGTCCCTCTTACTCCCACAAAAAAGATGTTTCAATTATCAACATTCAAAAAGAACAATTGTAGAGTACAGAGAAGCAAACTATATTTTCTTTTCATTTTTAAGTATAAGAAATATTTTCTCAAAGAACTATTATGTCATTTTTGTTTATTTCTAGGATATTTAGCTTCTTGCATGTTAATGCAGATAATGTTGAAATCTTCTCTCTAGGGTTACTACTTTTTTCACTTTTGCTTTTTTAACATTTTTCTTAGGCAATAACTAGTCCTGAGGCTTAATCCTTATTTGAATGATGTGTGTAAAGGTACTATCAGACTGGGTTACCCCACTCAATGGAAGCAACTTCTAAACACTGTCTAAGTGCTAAAAAACAAATTCAGATTGTTATTGTCTTCAGAGGTAAAAACCATAGCTAAGGCAGGGGAAAATAGTCCAAGAGAAATAAAGCTGAACCAGATTATTGGAGTAAGTAAACAGGGAATTTGAAGATCAGGTTATCTAGAGATGTAGATTACTATATCAGTTGGAAAGGAAGATAGTGAGTAAGACAAGCTGAGACTAAAAATAAGTATTTTTTGTCAGTCAACTGCTTAGGAAGTGACCAGGACACCAAGAAGTCCTGGTTTTAATCCAAGTTTGATGGCCAATGATTAACTCTGGAAAATGAGCAGGAAACAACTGAGATTTGGGGACTAGCATCCTGAGAGTATTTGCAATTTTGAAAGAACTATTGACAATATTTGAGGAAGGAAGGAAAATGATATGTAAGACAGAGTCTTTGGTATGATGATTTTTCAGTCTAATCGTAGTAAAGCCTGAACAGGGAGAATAGGAGAGGGTCTTGCTATACAATTTTGGAGATTAGATTTGATTCATGTGGAGATGGGAAACAATATGATTCTTTCATTTTTCCTCCTCTTCCCCCTTCATCATTCTTACTGTCTTCACTTTGGCATATATATTGAATTCTGTAAATCCTGGGTATGGATCAATTATAGAATGTCCCAAGGACCTGAAAGTGTGTCCTTGTATACTTATATTTGGCTGCACAGAAGCCTAAACCAGAGCTAAAAATCCTTTAGGAACAAAAAAGAAATTTTGGTATTTTCTTATTACTATGGTCAAAAGGAAGCTAAGTTACTTGGTCTGTTTAATCTAAGGATTTACAATTCTATTTGTTTCTGATTTCATTAATAATTTTTTATCCTTACAATTATGAAAGTCACATCATAATACACTTAAGAATAAATTATGTGATGGTAACTAAATATGTTCCTCTTGTTCTGCTTTGTTGATATGAAAAAAATACAAAGATTTTTAAATAAGTGATTTTATTTTGTTAACCATCAGAGCTTTTTTATGTGGTGCAATGATTGTATCTTTAGAAGAGTATTTTGCTTGGAATGTAGATACACTGCAAAGTGGATAAGATGTAAGCCTTGGTAACTTGATGTGCTCTTAGTTAAAAATGGCTGCTCTTCTAGATACCTGATCCCTAGGACATGGTTTATGCTGTGATTTGATTTTTAACCTATAAAAAAATTCCCCCTGCAGAAATTCAACATGAATTTGTTTGAGGAAATGGACATAATGACAAAATGTGTCGAAGTGGTTTTTAAAGTTTTAGGAAAACATGCAGGCAGAACACAAATGATGAAACCATTTTGGAATCACTTGAGAGAGTAGGAATTATTATTATTATTATTATTATTATTATTATTATTATTATTATTAAGACTAGAGGTTCATTAAGCAACATGTATAGTTGTTCACTTTTCTAGGTGTTGCCCTGTGTCTAATAAAATATTGTAGCAATCTTTAAGGAACTATTTAAATAACACTTATATTTTAATTTTCAATTGTATTTCTTTGATAGTTATCAGACTTTTCTTCTCTTTAGTCTCTTGACCATGGACCCACTTGGCAAAGAGAACAGTTGGGGGCAGAGTAGAGACGGCATACTGGATAACAACTAGCACCAAAGGAAAATATGTTAGGCATGACTTCTGTTTTAGCAGTCAGCAATATAAAGATCGATCATTAAAGCCCGTTCCTGTACTGTGCTATTATGACATCTGGAACTACGATTCCCATAATTCTCTACAAATGGGAGAATCCACAGACCTAGGAAATAGAGTATTTATAAATATTCAACCTTGTCTGGTTTACTGAAAGTACACCATTTAAAGGAGCTTTTAGTTAATGTGCGAAGGAGCTCCAGTTAAATGAACTAGCTTGCATAATATTTAGAAACATAGTACTCAAGAGGTGCTAATCTTTTTCTAGTGGCCTCTTAGCTAAGAAGACTACAATTACCTGAACCCTTTTCAAGGGTCTTTTAGACTGAGTCTTTCCTGGGAAATATAAACTACAAATCCCATGAGGCAAAGCAGCCCATAAAGCCCCTAGACCTCTTCCAGTAGGCTAAAATCCAGATTAAGGCAACCTGAGCAATGCCTGAAAAAACAACAACAACAAAAAACACACTGGCTTTTCCCTCCTAGTCAGCTTCTCTATGCACTTCCTATACCTTTAAAAGCATTAGTGTGAGTTGGCTATGGAAAAAAGGAAAATCAGAGTGGGAGTGGTTGGGGGGGGTGGGGTGGAGAAATCACCTGTTCTGAGAGGAGCATGCTCACTGAAGAGGGAGGGAGAGGAGGAGGTGGAGGAGAAAGAGAGGGAGGGGACGGAACCAGCCCGGCACGGCTCAGATCTGTTTCTTCTCTAGCTTGGGAAGCAGGAGCTGCAGCAGCCAGGAGGGATCTCTAGCAAACGTTGTTTGATACCGGCCAACATGGAGGAAGCAGTAGCTACAATTACCTGCGAACAGGAGTAATCCACTGACTTCCGCTCCAGCCATCCAGCTGTGTACTAGAAAGGAGGGAAGCCTGATCCTTCACCCGTGGAGTCACATCTGTCCGTCTACACGCCCGACAGCAGGAGTAGGGGGTTATTTTCCCCTTCTGGCTGCCTGCATCTAGGCTAAGAGGCAAAGGAGGGTGGGGAGCTCGCCTGTGAGGAGCCTCCCTGAGCCATGGGCAACGAAGCGAGCTTGGAAGGGGAAGGTCTCCCTGAAGGGCTGACAGCTGCTGCGGCGGCGGCGGCAGCAGCCGGAGGAGGGGACGGCGGGGCGGGGAGCACCTTACACACCATGATCCCGGCCGGCATGGAGGCGGATCTGAGCCAGCTGAGCGAGGAGGAGAGGAGACAGATCGCTGCTGTCATGTCAAGGGCGCAGGGGCTGCCCAAAGGAAACGTCCCCCCCGCCGCAGCGGAACCACCTTCTATGCAAAGGCATGCACAGCATTATATGTATACATATATATATATATACATATATATATGTCTATGCAAACGTGTTACAGCTCCATAGGCACATATGTGTGAGCACGTATGTGTGAGTAGAGTGGTGCATAGATGTAACCTCCCTTTATTTTATTCTCACTAATGGGGTGGGGATACAGTGATCATTTGCTATCTGGATGGGTGAGGGAAAAAAAAAGGATTTCTAGTAGAGTTTTGCTGAAATAGCCAAGCATTACATTATGATGGGATTTTAGAATGGTTTTAAGTTGTAATTCTGCTCTTTCAGATTCTTCTTATCGGATGACATCCAGAGGCGTTTCTAATATATTAATCTGGAAGTATTCTATTTAAATAATACGAGATGTGTTGTGAGCTAGAGTAGTATTTTTGCCTGTATCTTATCTTTGAGAATATTAGAAATTTATTCCCTTTATACATCCCAGTTAATGATATCTTTAATAATACCTTCCGTTCTCTTGGTGGTTGTTTCTTTTCTTTCACCCTTAAAGGAAATCAAGGGGTATAGCTCGGATATAACTATTTTATGAGAATAATGAAGCATCCTGTAGCATATACCAATCAGTAGGTTAGTATTTTTCTGGCATGTCTATCAGTATAATTTTAAATCTTATGAATCTACCCTTTGTATATGCCAAAGTATCACTTTATTTCATAGAAGTACATGTTGTAACTTTTATTAAATTGGAAATAATTTATATACATTTTGTAACAAACAGTATATATTTACAGAAAGATGACAAACTCCTTAGTTACCTTCCTTAGCAAATGTGAGTCAGACGATTAATAGTAACCTGCTAATGTTCTCCCCACTTTCGTCCTTCCTATCTCAAATAAATTATTTTTTTTTTCTTAATTAGTAACAGTAAGAAGTGTGCACAATCATGGACAGAATGCTTGGCCAACCCCCATTATTGTAAACAGGCTCACCACCTCTGGGGAAGAGAAAAAGGACCACTTCCCTATCCATGGTCCTGAAATGAGTCTCCCTCTGTGATCACAATCTAAGAGGGAAAACATTGGTGCTTATTTTCTTATAGGGAAGGTGTCTAAACCTGAAGGGGAAAGAAAAAATAGAAACCAGAGTATAATTTTTCATTTATTTATTTGAAGTAAATAGTATTTTAATTTACATGAGATAATTGGGTTTATTGGAAGGATAATTGAAATAGGTGATTAATATATGTGTGTATTTAGAAGAAATGTTGAAAAATATTTTATGAAAATTATATTATTTTAATATTTAAAATTTTCAAAATCTATTGAGGTTTCTCTTGATTAAAAACCTTAATATACCAAGAAAACTACTATTCCCATTAAACTTGTGACTCCTCTAACTTTATAAAATATGATTTCAGCAATATTTCAGAATATTAGGAAAATGTTTTTGAAAATCATTCCAGTTTTTTCTATGTCACTTATATTTGTTGAAAACTTGAATTATTAGAAATTATGAATTAGGATTCAATATTATTTCTTAAACTAATATTAATTGACACAGCTTCTTAGGATCATAGAATTGGAAAGGAACTTCTTAGTAATTCACATCTAGTTCCATGATTTTACAGATGAGGAAATTGAGGCCCATCTGTCTTTCAAAATTAATTGGTAATAATATTTTTTTCAATGTCTCATGAAAAAGTTATTTCAAGAGGTCCAGGACACTGGTTAAACAACCTAGAAAATACTAGCTGTGATTTTTTTTTTTTTGCTTTTAATTTCTATTCATAGGACAGCTTAAAGAATAGCATTTTAGTCTATGAATCTATATGTAATAGATATTTTTTGTTTTAGCCACAGTCACATAATTATCACTTGTACAACAATACCTATGACCAATATGGTTTTCAGTCTCAAGATATTAGTGTCAAATAGAATCCACAGAGAAGACATATACAAGCTTTCTGATATCTACATTACATTTCCACTTTTCAGAGATATAGGCCTCTCTGTAAATAGCTTCAATTTGTTTCCCTTTTTAGGAGACTATTATTATAATTAGAGCACACAGTTCCTCTCAATAATGATAAAAAAAGAAACAAGTGCACACATGCATGCTTGTGTGCACAAACTCACACATATTCACACCTCTGTTTTCCATATTGACTGTCCTAAATTGTCCATAATAAAGTAGAAAAATTACTGACTGTACCTGTACCTCAGCATCTTCATCTATTAAATATGTTTGATAATATCAGCCTCAAATGGTTATTTTTGTGAAGGTAAATTATAATAACATCTGTAAAAGTATATTGAAAAAGTTAAGGCATTACATTATTAATAAGTAATATTAGTTATATTGCAATCAGATATGGTTGTGTTTCATTTTTTGGACAGTTGTTTGCTTCAGTTTTTCATTGTTAGTGGTTTGTTTTGTACTATCCATATATTTTATCATACGTGAAAGGCACATATTCACAGACTTATGAAAAAGCAGCTGATGTTGTGGAATGAGATCTGGAGTTGGATTGAAGAGACAGCTTCTAGTGCTGACTGCTATTAACTAGCTATTGAGAACTTTGGGAAAAATCATTTATTCTTTCTGGACTTCAGTTCTCTCAATTTGGTGATCTCTAAGATCACCTTCAATTCTCCAGTTTTATGCACCTCAGCACTCTGCTAAGTTGTGAATCTGTAAATGGTATTAGATGTTTCTGTTGGTTCTTTTATATCTCTCTAGCATAAGACAGCTACTATTATGACTGCTGTTTAATATACCAATTCAAAAGATATGTTATGGGATATTTCCCCCCTATAACTACCTGTCAGGGAAAAGAATTCAAATCTCATGATAAAAGGGCATTGAAATCAAAAGAAGGGCTAGGCATGGAGAGTTAGACAGTATGGTAGAAGATTAAAGGTGAAAAAGGAAGTGCTCCTTGTTATTTTGATCCCTTTTATACACATGAGAAAATGTAATTTTGTTACCTTTCCTTCTTAATGTTTTCTTCAGCTACAGATGGCTCAGTTCTAAAGTACTTTGCTGAGAGTCACTTCTAATTAGCAGGATATTGTTTTAGAAATCTGAGGTCTTCACTGATACTATTCTCCTTTGATATCTCCTTGAGCATTTCTTTCAGCCTCTCATAGGCAATGGTTACAACTAACCTGCTTTCTCCTACAGTGAAATAATGTCCAGGTTTTAAGAGGAATATAGGATATACTTTTTTTATTTTAGCACTTTGAAAGTAGAACTGTGGGACTGAAGTTTTGATAACAGTAGTTGGGGAAAGTTGGAGAAAGTTGTAACACAGTATATCATTTATAATTCAATCAATTTTTTCCTGTTGTTTAACTGCATAGATGCTACATTAAGAGATTATTAACCACCAAACTATGATTGGCTGAGATGTACATTTTAAAGATTTTTTTTCTAGTCATGTAATTATATCTCCCTTTCAATTTCCCCTTATTTTACACTCCAGTAACATCACCTTTGACAGCTATTAGGTATTAATCTCTCTGGTTCTTTTGCTATCCATAATTACAACAATTAATAGTAAACGCTTCCAGCAGTGAGGTCAATATAGTGATGTACACATTTCCTAACAATGAAGAGTCTTAAATTTCATATAATTAGTGCTTCTTTTTAATCAATGAAGCTATAACTGCTGGTAAAAGTAACTTTCAGTAACAATGCTAGTTATTGTTACAAACAGGTCAAAATTTCAGCATGGCTATTTGTATACTTTCTAGGTAACTCATATATGAGTTGGATGTGATAAAATAATCTAACCATAAGAAAATGAAAGTTGATTTGTTGAAAATTCATTATAAAACTTTTTTTATCAGAATATGATTCTATGTAATGATGGTTTGTCATGGATTCTGTCCAAGGTATTTTATTTACTGAATTACTAAAATAATTTGTATTAAATTTGTATTAAATTGATATCAACTATAATGTGTTCCCAGGGTATGGGTCCTAAGAACAGCATGAAAGCTCCAAAATATTCTGAAAAAATACCTTTTATTTGTGTGTTTTTTCCTCAGAGCAGAGCAGCCAGAAATGTTATCTACATTAACACAGAGAAATTGCTATTTGAAAATACCTTAGAGTTGAGAATTTCAATTCAGTAATTGTATAATAATTTGCTCCAGGAAATTTCATTCCTTGCAAATACTCCAAAAAAGGTCAATCTTACCCATAACTTGTACTCTGAGCTGAATATGATTTGTGTTATTATCAACCAACAATATTTTTATATAGTGGCCAATGTAAAATTCAAACATTTAAGTTTTGAAATACTAAAGCAGTTTAGTTACCTATTAGTTTTCCTCTTGTTTCAAAAATTTGTATAAAATTCTTCCAACTTTTTCTTTTTTAATTAAAATAAATTAAAATATTATCTCTAAAATACTAGGATAGGAGGTATTTACATCCTAGGGGAAGGGATGGAGATGCAATTGCTAACAAGTAGATGTTAATCAAGTTGAAGAAGGTGGTTTAATCTGTTTTGAAGTGAATAATTTACCTATCATAAACTCAAAGGGTAAGGTAAATTAAAAACCCAGGGTTTATTTCCCTAAAAGCTTTAGAACCTATATGACTTATTTAATGTTCATAAAGTGATGAGATATCCTCCCTCCATTCCAACCTCATTATGAGTTGCATATCTTTTTTTTTTAATATATCCCATTTGGGCTTGTACTCTCATTTCTTTAAGTCTATGTAGAATGATAAATAATAAAAATAATACCTCACAATTACATAGCTTATTACAGCTTACGACAATAGCTTTTATTCTCATTTAACATGTAAGAAAACTGAGATTCAAAAATATTAAGTGATTTTCTCACAGTTTTATAGTTGTAGAAAATATTAAAGCCAAATTCAAATGTAGGACTTTTAACTTGGAAGTTTAGTGCTTTTTCCATTTTATAAATAGAAACATGTAAAGAATTAATGTTCAAACAATGTTAAGATAAAAATACTTGCTAGAAATTTAAAAGTGAACAACCTTGGAATTTTCATAATTTGAAAGTAAGATAAAAATTTAGCTTCTCTTTTTAATACTTAAAATAAGGACTACTGAGACATGTTATTTCTTATACCTGCTTCTCTTAATGTGGTTATCAGTACTGACAATTTCCTATCAGTCTTTCATTTAAAAATTTTGTGTGGATTAACTGGCATTTATTTTATTTTATTTCTTTTCTTTATTTTTAAAATTAGTTAATGAAATATGCAAAATTCAATTTTTACCTTCTCCCCATTTGATGTCAATGAAAAAGAAAAGAAAAGAAAACTCTTTTTAGTAGATATTCATAGTCATGTAAAACAAATTTCCCTTCCTTTTAAAAGTAAGTTTGTAAGTTGCTTTTCAATGTGTATTAGATTTTCCAACTGTACTCAGCCTTCTACATAGTGAAGTGGGTAATTTCTTAACAATATGAATTTGAGATGACTACTAAAATATTAAATTCAAAGCTCACAGATTTATCATTTAACTAGTAAATCTTATATTCAACTTTGGCATTCACAGAACTTGAGGGTGTTGTTTGTCCTAAGTTTTAGCTATCAGCAAACTCTATCTGTGTGAATAGCACTGAACTGAGAGTAAAGAGATATGGGTCCCAGACTTTGCATTGCCAAAGCTAATAACCTTACTACACTGGGACAAATTACTTTTCTCTGGATTTCATTGTCTTCTTCATTAACATGAGATGGTTGGACCAGGTGATGTCGTGAGGTCCTTTCTAGCTCTAATATTCTCTGATTCTAAATTGCTTTGGTTCATTTTTCATTAGTCTTTCTTAATCAAAGAGAAGAGTTATTCACTGAAATTAAAAGTCTTCCCATTTACAAAGTGCATATTTAGAATCTAATTTATTCCATGAGAATGAATGTTTTTCAGTATAGCATGTTCTAGTAGCATCTTCATCAGTAGAATATCCATTATTTAAAAAAAAAACTTAATGTCATGGATCCCTGTAGAAATGAACTGTATTAGCAAAAAAGATCAGCCACTTGAAATATATAATTATAGATGTTTGAAAATGCATCATGTCATCAAAACAGTGAAGTAAAACCTATCTTTTGTATCTTTCTGTGCCCTGGAAAGAAATATGATAAATAACAGGGGAAGAAGAAGTAGAAGGTAATTAACCAGGGAACTGCTTATCCTCTTTTAGTGCCAGCAAGCAACAAGTATAAACTATATTGTAAGCATTTAGGAAAATGGTCATTATGGAAGTTCCTGATTCTAAGCAACTCATAGAGCCTTTTCTAGGGAGGCTCTTAGATGACTTAAACTCATTCTTCAGTATTAGCTACACTCCAGGAGGCATCTCTAAGGTTTAATTCTCATGACTTATATAGGAACAACTTTTTAAAAATCCTCCTCAATTTGTGCCATTGTCATGGGTAAAATAGTATTTGTAAGAATGCTTAATTATAAAAGAGTTTGTATAGGAACTCTAACTGTTATCTATAGATAATTTCAGGATAAAATGATGGTTCCACCCCCTGAATTTCTAAGCATTAAGTTTTGATAAATATATCTTGTGGGAATACTGGGTAAGAGCAACAGAACATCATGAATGTATTCATGCACATATATACACATGTGCAGGCATTGTAGCACACATACATAGACCCCATTCAATTTTCACTAAAGATGTTACACATTCATTTATTAATACCTTACAATACCATCTATGGGAATTTCTATCCCTCCTTTTCTCTGTAGCTAATTGGGAAATGGCCCTAGGCCTTGTAGACACTTAACTACCTCTTTTCTGCATTTCATAGGAATCCTAGGATTTTACAGCTGGAAGGGACGTTAGAGATCCTCTAGCCCAATGACCTCATTTTGTAGATGAGGAAACCTCAAAGTAAGGGCATCACTTCAAAGTATTTGATAACCTAGTCATTGATATGCAGTAAACTAGAAGAAATATAGTGTCAGCTCCAAAGCAAATTTTAAATATAATCTGAATTTATCTAGTTATTTAAATTTACTTATTAGATTGTTTCTATGTTGTGAATATAGTCAACCCAATTTTAGGAATGTCTACTCCATCAATATACTTAATATTAGAATTGCTTATGTTGCTTAGAATCCCTTAACAATACAAGCTTCTTCAGAATAGGGAATTTTTATATGTTTACTAATACAAATTTACAGTGTTTGCAAGTACATCCTTTGTATTTGTATGCCCAGTGACTAGCATAGTGCCTGGCACATAGTAAGTGAGAAATCAATGTATGTTGATTACTTGATTGGTAAATTCCATTATTTTTATTTCCTTTTCTTCTTTACTGTCCCAGGAAACCAGAGTTTGATACCAGTCATCATCCAAAGCAACCAGGGAAGCCTCCAGATCCTGGGCATCCTGGACAACTCAGTAAAAGTAGAACAACAGATACTTTGAGAACTGAGCAGAAATCCCCTGGAAGGAGCCCTTCTACTACTAGCCTGAGAGAATCGAAATCTCGAACGGATTTTAAAGAAGAACAAAAGTCAAGCATCATGCCTAGTTTTCTCACAGATTCCAACCCATTAAGTGCTGTCTCATCTGTTGTAAATAAATTTAACCCTTTTGATTTGATATCAGACTCTGATGTATCCCAGGAAGAAGCCACCAAGAAACAAAAAGCTGCTCAGAAGGAACAGGGGAAACCTGAGGGAATCACAAAACCTGCATCTCAACAGCAGTCCCCTAAACCAATTACAAAACCACAAGGGCCTCCCAAAGTTACATCTCAGCAAGCTGGTACTACCAAATCAATACCTCCTCAACAACCTGGAAAAACCAAGCCTCAGTCTCTTGGGACAGGAAAGCCAACTCAAGCTTTAGGGTCAACAGAAGAAGAAGATTCGCGATCAGAACAGGCAAAATCACAACTTCAGCAGCGAGGTCCAATCAAATCTCAGCTAGACCCTGCAAAATCAGATCCTGCTAAATCAGTATCACAAGGCCCATCCAAAATACTTTCCCAGCAACCAGGGCCTACAAAACTACCTGCCCAACAGCCAAACCCCACAAAACCACCTGTTCAGCAGTCAGGCCCCACAAAACCTCCCACTCAGCAGCCTGGACCAACAAAACCCCCCACTCAGCAGCCAGGGCCCTCAAAACCACCCACTCAGCAGCCAGGGCCCACAAAACTACCCACTGCCCAGACTGGGGCTTCAAAGACCCTCACCCAGCCACCAGGGACCACAAAACCATCTACCCAGCAGCCTGGGCCTTCAAAGACCCCCACCCAGCAGCCAGGGACCACAAAACCCCCCCCTCAACAGCCAGGACCAACAAAACCCCTTGGTCAGCAGACAACAAAACCATCAAGCCAACAAGCAGAGCCTGGAAAACCTTTGCAACCACAATCAACTTCATTTCCATCTACAGCACTGACATCAGCACAGGCCCCCCGCAAAACCTTTTGTCCTCTTTGCAGTACCACGGAACTTCTGCTACATACGCCAGAAAAGGCCAATTATAATACTTGCACTCAGTGTCAAACAACTGTCTGTAGCCTGTGTGGGTTCAGTCCGCCACATGTAACAGAGGTCAGTACATTTATTGTAGTCTCTCTTTCTAGAGTTAGTGAATCTAGATAATGGTGTCTTTATCCTGAAATGGTATTGTTCAAAACAATCTCATGATTTTAATGTCATGTCACTCTTTATTAAACACAGGCCATAAAGATAGAAAGGAAATTAGATAACATCTAGTTGAAACCCTTTCCTTTGCATGTGAGGAAAAATGAGGTCCTTAAATGTTAAGTGACTTATTTCATTCTATATGTACAGGTGGTATGTAGTAAGTTGGGATTCAAATAAAGATTATGTCTAAAAATCATTACTCTCCCTTCTACTCTGCTGAGCATATCTTTTTTTTTAACCTGACATTTATCATAAAACAATGCATAGTTCTTAGAAACATTAATGTGAACTATGTTCTCAGCATTATTGGTATCAATTCTGACATTTTTTCCTGAGATGCTCTATGATTTTCATACAGTTTGACAATTGGTTTTATATCACCAATCACCAAGTTTATTGAATAATGTACCTACTGTGTATCTAGCACCATGCTGAGTGTTAATACTGCTGTCTAAAAGTAAAATGATGTTGTTTTAGTAGGTGGCAAATCCTTACTAGAGGAGAACATATTACATAGCAAAATCATGAGGCAAGCCATGATGATATAGCAAATTAGGAAGTTTGCAGTAGTTATGGTACCCTAATTAAATGAAAGAGGGATGTTACAGACTTAGAACTGAAAATGTAGGGTTTTGATGTCCAGATGGTGGACAGGACCTGGTTCATTTTCTACAGTGAATGGAATATCCCTGAAGGAAGGCAATGGCATTGCCTAGTCAGGCTGGAGAACAGCTGGTAAGTGGGCAGACAGTGAATTTTGGCCTTGGAAACCAAATGAGGGACAGTCGGTGGAGTGGATAAGCCACGACTCATGTACATGTTAATTTAAAGCTTTATACAGTTTAATTATTCCCTGGACAGAAGGCTTGTGCACTATAGTCATAATGAATAAAAATCAGTATTACTAATGACTTTTGTTATTAATGACAAATCTTATTTCCATTAGTGATCATAATTATTACAATTAAAAATGATAATGTATGTTCAGAAGGTGTTCCCTTAATATATTACAATCTCAACAGTATATTATCATGTAGCTGACTACTGTCCATGCTGTTGCATCTTAATACTAATTGTTAGTAATAAAATGGCATTTACATAGTACTTTAATGTTCAAGTATAGTACCTTCCCCAAAACATCTGGTGAGGTAAATGGTACATGTTTTTATGCCCATTTTATAGTTATGAAGATGGAGGTTTAGAAAATTAAGAGTGTTGCCCATATTCACAGTTAGATTGTTTTAGAGCCAGGTTTTCTATCACCTAACCCACTGTTTTTTTTTTTCCATCATGCAGCTACTTTAGCCATTAATAATCATTCAATCAATACACTTTGAAACTTGGGAACTATCACGTATTGGTCACAAGATAAAGATAAATGAGACATTACTAACCAATCATGTTGCTTCCTAATTTCTGATAGGGTTTTTGTTATTTCTTTCATATTACTATTGCTAAGTGGCTACTGCCTTTAATGAGGTAATAACACTGACCAGGCAGAAACCTCCCCTCCTTAAATCAAAATATGAAAGAGAAAAAATAAGATTCATGAAATATGAATTTTTGCCACTTTGCCACATCACTCAGAAAAAAAGAATATTTCAACTTGATATTAAGTTCATGCCAAGAATTCATAAGACATGCCTTTTCCTCTCAAAAAGATATGTATACAAATAGCAATATAAAGTAGAAAGGGAAGTATGAATCTGATTAAAGATTTTTGAGCAGAAGAATGACATAGTTCTAGTTATACTTTTGGAAGATTAATCAGGCTGTAATATATCAGATGGATTAGAGAAAAGAAAAACTGTAATTTGGGTGGCTAGTTAGAAAGCCATTGTATTAATGCCTAATAGAAGCTATTAGGTCCTACATGCAATATTTGGAGGTAGGGAATCTGGGTTTAAATCTTAGGACTCGCTGTGTGACTGTCTTCAATCTTTATTTGTAAAAGAAGGCACAGAACTTCTATCTAGACCTAAATCATAGGATCTTCAGATGATACTGATGGGAATGTAAAAGGGAGGGCTTACATGAGCTAGCTTGTTAGTAGATTCATTAGGATTTGATGACTGATTAGATATGGGGGATAAGGAAGAAGTTAAGAATGACTTTCAACTCTGGGTGAAGAAGTGACAAGTTTGTTGAAACAAAGGGCTATTTCTTACTTCAAATGGTTTGTGTTCTCATTGATGTGGGTACTTTTCCCAATGGTGCACACCCACAATCCATCCATATCTTATTTAGGGAAGCCTCTGCCAATGTTTTTTTCAATAAATCTTCCATCTGGGGTCAGCCCAATATGCTGGAGGCCTTCATCTTGGTTCCTTAATATCACATGAATATCACTAGAGCAAATGAGTAGTTCATTAGTCATCTTTTGATCTCAACACAAGATTGTCATTCATCCCAATTATGTGGCTTCCTGCATGCAAATCACCATTGGACAAAATGCTCACCACCTTTCCCTACAGTGATTTCTTGATGACCCCTAATTTTGATTCTTTAGAGATTGTGTGTAGGCTAAAATTCATGGTCTCATAGCTTCAGCAAAAGAATATTGGTTTTGAAAAGCTGAATTTTTGTTTCGGAAGAAACATGTATTTTTGAAAGGGCTGCACAATTTTCCAAATGCATTTCAGCTTGTACTCTTTCTCTCCTCTTGAATTCTTGGCCTATATCATTGTCCTTTTTTTTTGCAGTCACTATCTTAAATATATGTATTAATGTTCCACCTCACTGGATCATGCATATTGATCATGAATATCATGATATGGATAGGTATTTTTCATTCTCTTGTTTTTTCCTGGTATCTTAGCCTGAACATTTTAGTGGTTGGGACTTTCATTCAGAAGTCTTTGTAATAGCCTAGACCTTGCTGCAGACAGCATAATGTTATTGGTAAATAGCATCTGGAGAACTTAATGATATGTGGGGAATTTCTCTTCCATTTGGATGCTGCTGTACCTTTTCCACCTTTGGTGAGACCATCTCTCCTTGTTTTATGTTTTGCTTCATCTTAATAATTGGGCCAAGAACTATTGAGGAAAGGTATCTTTGCTATGTCTCTCAAGAAATCCTATATAATCTCAAAAGATGCATAGGAGGCCCATCTCAGAAGAGCTTTTAAAGCTTCATTTTTTTCCTCTATGAAATCAGATGTGTTTTTATACTTAATAAACAACAAATACTAGATGATATCTTAGTCTCTGAACTGTTGTCAGTTATGTGACTGTAAATCTGTAGTTTACTGTAGAAAATTATTTGAAAAAGATCTCATTTTTCATCAAATATGTGCTTGATACACATGTAGATTGTTCTCATAAAGATTTGTGTAGAGGTAGAAGAATAAGTATGTTGGCAAGTTGTTACTGGAATCTTCTGAATTAACTTTTTGTTCTTTTGATTGTAGTACCATTTAAATTTTTCTAATAATATATGGTCTTTGCCATTTTCATATATCTTGAGAAGCATTTTTCTATGCATTTATTAAGTAGTTATTATTTATCAGGCACTATGCTAGGCAGTGGGTATACAGAGACAAAAATAAAAGTGCCTGCCCTCAAGAATCTTACATTCTATCAGGTGAAGCAACATCTCCACAGAAGAGTAAATATAAATTAGACGCAAAATAGATGTAAGGTATTTGGGAGAGGGGAGGGCTGAGGGGAAGGTCATGGTTTGGATAGATGTTATGCAGGAAAGGCCACCTTGAGCTTTAAATGACAGCAAGGATTCTTTGAGGGAGAGGGGAGAGGGCTGTGCACTGCAGAGTAACCTGTGTCAGGAGATGTAGAAGGAAGATGAAATGTCACATATGGTGAATAACAAGGAAACTAGCCTAGTGAGAACATAATGGGCATAAAGGAGACTAAGCTGAAACAAGCCTGGAAAGGTAGGATGAAGCCAAATTGGGAAGGGTTTTAAGGGTTAAAAAGAAGAGGGTTTACTTTTTTTTCTTAGAAGCAAGAGAGAACCATTAAAGTTTCTTTAGCAGGAAAGTACTTTTGGAATATGAGTTTGGTGGCTATGGGGGGGATTGTTAGAAAAGGCAGAGAATGGAAGCAGGGGGACCAATAAAAAGGCTATTGCATTTTTCTAGGTTAAAAAGTGATAAGGACCTTCTCTAGAGTAGTGTCTATGTGAGTAGAAAGAAGAAGGTGAAGTGAGATATTATAGAGGCATAATTTACAACAGTCAGCAATTGACCAAGGAAAGAGGTAGAGTGAAAGTTAGGCATCACTTTAAGGTTTTCAACCTGCATGATTGGAAAGATAGTGATGCTTTTAACATAAATATGGAAATGAGGGAAGAAGGGAAGGAATTCTTGAGAAAAGGATAATGAGTCCAGTTCTGTACATATTGTTTGTGAGGTGTCTATGAGATATCCAGTTGGATATTTCCCATTAGCAGTTAGTCTTGTGGGACCAGACTTCAGAAAAGAGATTAGAAATGGATATGTAGATCTGGGAGTCATTTACATCAAGATCATTGTTGAATCAATAGAGGGTGATATTACCAATAGACATAATATAGAGAAAAATAGAGGGCCCAGGACAGAGTGCTGGGGTGAAGCCACATATAGAAAGTGATACATGGGAGCTGATGCAGCAATGAACATTGAAAATGAGCAGCCGTGTAAGGCTGAGTATGTCATCAAAGGAAACCAAGAGAGAACGGTGTCACCAAACCCAGATAGGAGAATATCTAAAAGGCACGATTAGAAGTGTAAAATGTCATAAAAGAATCTAGTAGGATGAGAACTGAGGGAAAAAAACTATTGTATTTACATTGTGGAAAGTCTTAGAACTGTTTCTGTTGAGTAATGGATGAGTTCAGAAGCCAGTTTTGAAGGTGTTGAGAAGTAAATGCCATGTGAGAAAGTTTAAAGTGCAAGTGGGGAA